ACAAAATTGGAACCCACCAATTCAAAACCACACAAGTCAATTTCATAATTAAAAATAAAAGGTCCTTTTTATGTTGAATTAAAAGGTTTGACCAAACTTCATGCAAAACAAATTTAGGCAGCCACTAAAAATAGAAACCATTTTTTACCCAATAAAATTCAACCTAAGTCTTCAAAGTCAATCTACGCCTTTTTCCGATTCACAATCCAAAAAAAAAAATATGACATAATCAAAGTACATCCATCAGCAGAAATAAATTTTGCTCTAAATTTCTTCTTAAATAGCATATAAATGATTATATCATCTCATAAGACATTAAATTAAGGTCTAAATTACCTTATATGATAATGCACCCTAAAAATTAACCCAAAAAATATTTTTTAAAAAAAAACTAAAATTACATGAAAAAAATTCAAAGAAACAGTACCATCTCATTCCGCGGTTTTCCGCCGTTAATCTCCGTCTTCTTCTCCACCGGAAAATAAATTGAATTTTAAAGGAAAATTAAAAAAAAATTAAGAAGAAAAGCGAAATTCCACCAAACCCTAGATCACGATCTCCACATTCCTCGAAAACAGAGCCTTCATCGTCACCCACATTCTACTCAACCACCATAAAACTCAAGAAATTCATGCAAATTTCACGAAGATCCGAAACTTTCTAATTTCCTTTTTTGTAAAAAAATAAAAAAAAAATATTGAAGAAGATTACGAAGAAGAGAGAGAATGATCTCCGGGAAAAAATTCCGGTGAAAAAAAATAGCCGGAAACCGGGAAACGGAGTTAACCGGTGGAGGAGAGAGAAAAAGGCAGAGAAGATAGGAAAAGAGGAGAGAGAAAAAAGAGTGGGAATGAATGAATGAATGAATGAATAGGAGGGAAGAAGGGAAAAAGCTTAGGAAACCGGAAAAGAGGAGAGAGAAGAAAAATTTATAGTTTTATATTCGTTTGCCTTTAATGGAGGTATAATACGGGATTAGTTTCCTAATTTACGAATTAAAGGGGTTAATCAGGATTTAATTATGGAAATGGGAAAAGAAAAAGGAAAATTAAAATGAAAGGGAAAGTGGGTGGTTGTTAGGTGGTTAAACCGAACCCATTCGCCGACCCCTTGAAACGCGTTTCATCTCTCTTCCCCTTGTTTTGTACACTACTACTCTTTTATTTGACCATTTTACCCTTCGAGTATTGTAGAGTGAATCATATTTGTATGTTTTGGGTAGTTTAGACGGTTTTTTACTTTTTCATTGTGTAGGAGGAGAGTCGTGTAAGGATAGTGATGCATGTAACACTTTTTTATACTCGTACTTTGTAGCCCATATTATGTCATTAAATTGATATCTACTTTGTATATAGCAACATTAATCGAAACTTTATATAAAATGTTGTGTGTTCATCTTAATTCGTAGATGTTTTACGTGTTAATTTTCCTATTTTTATATAAAGGTATGTTTTATTCACCTGATTTTCACTTATTTGAATTCCCTTAACTTATTAAATTTATTTTAGTTGTAATTTAAATTTGAGTTTCCCTTTCGTAAAAAAAAAATTAAAAATGGATAACTCTATAAAGATTTATTTTTCTTGAACTTATGTTATCAACACTTATCTGAAATAAAATAAGTGAAAATAAGAATTCAAATATCATGTCTCTTATTCATTTGATTCTTCAATCTTTAATTAATATAGCATTATTCAAACCAGCTAAATACTTTAAATTATTAAGGGTTGTTCGGAATCATTATTGGTGTTTTAAATCTATATTTGTATTGAGATGTTAGTATAACACTGTATTCGGTATACTCTTGCTTCATGCGCACATTATTTCACATACCCTTTATTTTGATGAATTACTTCAACAACCATCATACATGCAAAACATTGATTAACCACTTTGATTAAGAACACTATAAAGTGTTTTATCTCCTAATACATTATGATGTTCACATGTTAACATACTATGCATGGATGCATCGATTTGATTTTATTAAAACTAACTAGGTTACCAATTTACCTTTCATGCAACTGTTTTCCAACCAAATCTTCAACTAACAATGGCAAAACTTTGGCCCACAATTGTATATATAGTTGTATGAAAACTTTTTTTTAATTTTAAATTTTTATTTTTTATTTATTATTTTTAATTTATTACAAAGCATTGTGAAAGGTTGGCAAGCTACTAGCTATCATGCAAGACTATGCTAATACATTGCAATTCTATATTTCTATTACAAGTATTTAATTTATTCTTTTCACATCAGCATAAAATGTTCAACATTTATCATTATCATACCAATTTTGATTGTCTCATTTTACTTTGTCCCAAATCTCATTTTGGGGAGTCCTTATTTGGTTGCATTTATCATTTTCAATTTTTTTTATTTCTTTTTTGTGTATTCTTTGAGTTAGACCCATTAGTCATTTTATTTTTTTCGACCTCTCTTCTTTATCCCTATGCAAATATTATGAATAAGGTAAATTAGAGAGGTGGAATTATAATATAATAATATACAAAGTATGTATTTTAAAATCAAATTAACTTATATCCGACAAAATAATACCAACTTAGGTGATTATTATGTCCTCAAACAATGATTATCACAACTAATCAAATTATTTCAATAATGGATTAATGCTTGTAATGTGACGCACACAGTGAAACATTTATTGATCACATGTTTGATTGACCATTTCAATTCTTCCACTTTTCTTCTATATATTCTTCATTGACTATTATTTCTTTCCGTCATTAGTTTAGTAAACATTATTGTAAATTAAGATAGGTAGACAATAATCGTACTTAGTCTAATCATATTTATCTTCATTATTATATACAAATCCATAGAATTTTATAATTGGTCAAATTAGTAGTTGATTTCTATAATACAAAGTACTATAGTTTAAACTCATGTCAGCATCAACATTACTTGCTACCACTATTTTGGATTTCTCAATATTCAAGGTAGAATTACCAAACAAACAATGCACGTATCAAGATTTTGATGGGAAAACTAATGTTAATGTTAAAATCACTAAAAGGTGGAAAAGTTAGAAAAAAAATAATTTAATTGATGTGATTGAGTGAGTGTACTTTTTTATTTTCATCTTCTATTTGACCAGTGGAGATTTGCATTGTCTACAAATGTCGGATACGAAATGTACTTTAAAGATTCCATCTATATTAATGTGATTTAATATGAATTGACTGAATTCAAAATAGATATACTCACATTAATTGGGTTATGTTACTAAATTCATTAAATTTAATTGGTTGTAATTAGCCTTGATTTCACTTTGTGTTTACACTATTGCACCCCTAATTTATCCAACTGATTATTGATAACTGTAACGTTTTTTAGTTTCAGTACAGTAAAATTTCATTATTATTTGATCTTATTATTTTTTCTCCTCTTATGATCTTTACCTTGACTGTGTATAAAAAGTAACCTTTTTCCCAGTCTTGAGTCTTGACCAACTTTTACATTGTAAAATTAATTTGATAGCTCAAATACAGACTAAATACTACGATTAAGTAATTAGGAACAGAGAGAATACCAACTACATTAACAATCCAACAAAATGTAAATTACTTTCGTTCTAGAACATTATGAATGAAAGTAAAGATTTGGAAGTTTGAAACCATGAAGATGAGAGTAGTTGGTAAATGATGTATACCCATGCAGATTGGTAAAATAGCAAAGAAATTAAAGCATTAATGAGAAAAACATAAACATAAAAAGCTAACAACTTTTGATACGTGTGTTTCTGACCATAGACGTGGTCGTAAATGTGGGTAACTAAAGTTTGATAGCGTAGAATAGGTCTTTGAGAATGTACGCCACTTATTCAATCCGAATTTCCGCAAACAAAGAATAGGATTCATGATTCAGGAAGCATCGCCGCATACGTATCCCTCAGTCTAGCCACGGGATTAGGGTGTCATGCGCTGTACATCCTACAACTCATTTAACACCCTTCTTCTATACAAGTACTCCTTTCGTCTTAATCTTTCTTGAGATAGGAGGATTACTTATACTCGTATGCTTTTTTATTAAAAAATACTTTTTTTGTTTTTATTAAATGCATCCGTTTGATTTTTACACTATTTATATGCCATGTTTGACTTAATTTTTTGGTATTATAAAATAAATAAATATTATTACATAATGTCTACTTTCATAATATAATTTTGTTACAATTTTTTTACTAATAGACAATTAAAAATATTAACGGTCAAAGTTACATCTTAGCATATGTGCCGGTCAAACTGATGCATTTACAAAAAACCAGAGGGAATAAGAATAAAAACTCATTCCGTCTATTCTATTCGCTGCAGTAACACTCATTTTTTGTATTATAAATAACAAATAACTAAGATTATTAATCTACTTTCTCACTTATTATATACTTTCTCTGTTCTTCTTTTACCGGACCTGTTCAATTTATTAGACCACTCTCAATGGTGAGCAAAAAAAATGCTCACTCACTCTCTCTCTACCCACTTTCTCTCTCAACAAATCTGTTTTGCTCATGGGCAAATTTTTTTTCACAATTTATCTCCCAATGGTGAGCAAAAAAATGCTCACCCACCACTCTCTCTCTCTTACTTTTTCAATACCCCACCATTGCTTTCTCTCTCCTACACAACACTTCTTTATGTATTTATTTCATTTATATTTTAACAATATTACTCCAAAAAAAAAAAACTAGTTTAAATTTCGTTAATTTGTTTTTTTTATTTGTATCCTTTTAATCGTTAAAATTTGTCGTAAAATTAAGTACGTTATATGAAATAATTGTAAAAAAAGCTCAAAATTTCTTAAATATTTTTATTCATTTTAAAAAGCGGTACAACACTAGAAACCAGTAACATTTGCAACGTCATGTGTAATTAAACTTAAGAAATAAAATAAACAAAACTATTAAAAAATAACTCGACTGCGTACGGAAAAGTAGCTACGCCATAGTACTTGGCTTCATTTAAGTCGTGCTAATTTCTCCCTAATTACGTGGCCCGTATCGTAGCCAAATATGTTCGACTAAATCACGTTTCAGAGATAGATGAATTTCTCTGTCACGGAGGGAAGCTTTTCGCTGTAGAAATGCGTTGAAGTCAAAGTTGGTAGGTCGGCCTACGTTGAATTCAAACGGTGGCGTTGTAGATGTTGATGCTGGTGTTAATTCTTGTTGATCTTCTTCGTAGAAGGCTCTTAGAACTTCGGCTCGAGTGTAGTTGTGGCGCTCATCTTCAACAATCATGTTGTGCATAATGATACATGCTTTCATTATGTCTCGCAGTATGTCCTCATCGTACGCCAGTGACGGTTTTCGTATTATTGCAAATCGAGCTTGCAAAACACCGAATGCTCTTACAACGTCCTTTCGAGCAGCAGCCTGATGGTCAGCGAACATTTTATCTTTCTGAAGTTGAGGGGTTGTGATACCCTGAACAAAAGTTGCCCACTTCGGATAAATACCGTCAGCTAAGTAATATGCCATGTTGTATTCATGGTCGTTAACGGTAAAATTTACCGGAGGAGCTCGACGATGCAGAACCTCATCAAACACTGGGGAACGGTATAAGACATTATGGTCATTACAAGATCCAGGAATACCAAAGAAGGAATGCCATATCCATAAATCCTGATCTGCAACGGCTTCCAGTATTAGCGTTGCTTTCTTGTTCCTACCGGCGTACTGCGCTTTCCAAGCCGTTGGACAGTTCTTCCATTCCCAATGCATGCAATCAATGCTGTCTATCATGCCTGGAAAACCACGCAGTTCATTTTGATGCAGTATTCTGGCCAATTCATCAGTTGTAGGGTTTCGCATGTACTCAGTTCCGAACTGATCTATGATCCCGGTACAAAAACGTTGAAGGGAAACTCGAGCGGTTGACTCACTGATTCGAACGTATTCATCCACGGCGTCCGCAGCCATGCCGTAGCCTAACATTCTTATCGCCGCTGTACATTTTTGCAGAGGTGATAAACCTAACCTTCCAGAAGTAAACATCACCTTCAAACGACCTTGTTCATTATACGTACAAACAAAGGTCGTTGCATACGAAATCTTCTTCTAAATTGGGTGGTGTTGTACACAGGATTATCGGAAAAGTAATCATTAAACAACCTGGCATGTCCAATTTCCCTATCTCTTCTATTCATACCCCCTCTAGGTTTTTTTGAAGTGTGTTGGGATTGTGTTTGGGGCATGAGGACAGATGGGGGTTGGTATGTGAAGAGTTCATCAACAAGTTGATCATATTCTTCAGTATTTGAAGAAGATGAGCTTGAACTTGAGCTTGATGATGGTCTAGAATACATCACGTATTAATATTGTTACTTGATGAATTGGTGTGGTTGTGGATATGTGCCATGCCTACTATATATAGCAAAAATATCAAATGAATATGTAGTTACAAATCTGAATGACCACACCAAGTACAGGAATCAAATTTTCAACCACGGAATAGGTATACTATGCTAGTTGTCAGTGACAAGTCTTGAGTGCAATAATGTCGGTATCAATGACACAAAGGTAAAGCATTCTGATAAAGTGAATATAGGAAAACGTGGCTATACAATGACAAAGATTTATTGTAATTATGTCGGTATCAATGACACAAAGTTAAAGCATTCTGATAAAGTGAAATCAGGAAAATGTGACTACACAATGACAAAGATTTAAAGCAATTATGTCGGTATGAATGACAACTTAAATCAACTTGTTAAACAAATTGTCATTCAATATTGGAAAATCAGAATACAAGTGTACATCTTACATTGAAATTAACCACACCACTAATACAACTTAAAAATAAAAGACTAAATTGCGCTTAATAAATAACTTATCTAATACAAGCGTAGACCTACTACAACCAAACATGCTTAAAAGCCTTGTAATTTACCCAGTAAAAAATTCTTGTACGACTCTTCTTCAGAAGTGAGTGGCGTAGGCGAATTCTTCAGAGCTTGCACCATATCAAACCAGGTTTTCATCTTATGAATGTCAAGTTCCTCCCTTTTCCTCTGTTCCTTGTCCTTTTCAATTTTGATCCTCTCTTCCTTCAGAATGGCCTCCCTCTCGCGAATTGTAGCGAATTCCTTCATTCGTTCGCTAAGCTCAGACGAACCACTTTCTGTTGCTACTGCTTTCCCTTTACGCTTCGCCTTTGCTTTCTTGACACCCTCGGGTCGTTGTAAACCGCCAGATGAAAAACCATCCGTAGGGGTTTCATCCCCTACATCATCTCTGGACCTCTTCCCACTTCCAGCACTACCTTGCTCCTCAGCATCACAAGCGGCTTTTCTTTCCTTCAATGACATTGACCATCTCAGCTTTGGCCTCCACTTTGGATCCTTATTAAGCATTTCAATTGCATGAGGAAAAGTGAAATTGCGACTTTGGGCGACATGAAAAAGCTTCGCCGCACTTTTCATACGGTCAGCTTCATTGTAACCACTCCCTCCCTCCGGAAGTCTACCTGCTTCATCATAGCAAGATATCCACTGCAGTGTGTTCGCTGCCAACCTTCTCCAGTGCGACGTCAGACTCTTAATAGGTCTTGACGGAATTATATGCGGCTTCTGCGTATGCAAAGTTTGATATGCTACGTGTACATTGCGCCATAGGCTAGTTGCTTTTTGGCTTGTACTTTTAATAGCATCCTCGCTAATCCGCAAGTACAACCCAATCAGAGCTTCATCTTCCGCAACAGATCAAATACGGGTCGCTCGTGCAGGAACCTGGTTGGGTTCCAGTATGCGAACTGGTGGAGGATACTGCGGCGTCTCTGGTACGCTTTCCTCTTCGTTCTCATCGAAGAGTGTGTTATTATCAAGATCAGTTTCAGGTGTATGATCTTATTTAGCAGGGTTTTGTAGAGGAACCTCAGTGGGTGTCTGATGCAGTGGAGGTGGTTGCGAAGACATATTGCCCATTCTTTGCAAGAACAATTGAAACTCGGGATTAGTTAGGAAATCATCACTAAAACCCGAAAATTGTTGACGGAAATTTGGGTTGTTTGGATCCATTAAAAGATTCTGCATCAAAAAACAAAAGCTAAATATCGTTACAAACATTTACTCAAAAAACAAATTAAAATGACAACAAATCCAAAAAAATATCAACAACTTTCTTCAATTGCATAATGCAATTACATTACATGCCATACAATATTTTTTTTTCTCACAAAATAACATATATACTAATTTTAACACATAACTACATGTACATATTAAAAAAAATAATTAGCCAATAATTGCAACACTTTAAGAACTATAAATTTAGAAATTTATTGAGAAAATATACACAACTTTGTTTAATTACATAATGCAATATAATTTCGTGGCCTATAATATTGATTTTTTTTCAAAAAAGCACATATATACTAATTTTATTACGTAACTACATTTATATATAGCAAAAAAAATTAACCAATAATTGCAACACTTTAATAACTCCAAATTTTTAGTAATTTATGGAGAAAATATACACAACTTTGTTTAATTACATAATGCAATTTAATTTCGTGGCCTATAATTTTTTTTTTCCATAAAATCACATATATACTAATTTTATTACGTAACTACATTTATATATAGCAAAAAAAATTAACCAATAATTGCAACACTTTAATAACTACAAATTTAGAAATTTATGGAGAAAATATACACAACTTTGTTTAATTACATATTGCAATATAATTACATGGCCTACAATTTTTTTTTTTTTTTTAAAAATCACATATATACTAATTATATTATATAACTGATTTTAAAAATTAATTAATTTTTTTTTACCTGAATATGGGTGAATTGCAACAACAATATTCTTCTACAAATTTAAAATACTTTTAAGAAAATTAAAATGTGGAGGATTTAAAGTGTTTACGAAATTATATCAAAATATATCAAAATGCATGTCTATTTATAGAGAATTTAATTTTATGACCGTTGGTAATTTTTTTTTTTTTTTACAAAATATATTTTTCAGAAAATAGATTACAAACATATAACCGTTGTAAACGGCTATAATTTTCTGATTGGCTAGCAAGCTGCACACGCCACGCGTCGCCTCCTCATTCGCCCCTCCGCTGCACGCGTCAGAAGCTCAACAATTTTTTTTTTTTTAAATCTGCAACCTCAAAACGACGCGTTTTGAGGCGCGCCTTTGAGGAAGCTTCATCAAAACGCGTCGTTTTGATTGTGGTTTGTCCGAAATTTTTTTAGTGGGTCTGCCAGGTGTGGGCCCCACAAGGGTTACTGTTCATCAATAAAAATGCTCAAGTTTTGAGCTTTTTTGGTTTTGCTCATGGGCTTTTTTTTTGGATTTCACCAATTTCTCACCATTGTGGTTGGTGATCATTTTTTTTGCTCACAAAAAAAAAATTGATCACCATTGCTAGTGCTCTTACATCTAACCATTATTCTTATGATAGGATACTAAAATCCAATTATACACCTCCTAGTGAAATTTGATCATTCAGCCTTGATATTGTGACAATTTGAGTACAAAATTAAATATGGTATTTCAGGGTTTTGTTTAGACGGTTTTGCATGTAGGACATGCTATTTATAGTCTATATGTTTTGCAAATTCAAAGCAAGGTAGATGAATAAATAAATAAATAAAAGCAAACCCATTTGAAAAGGAACAAATGGGATGTAAAAAGAATGGGTCATTCGCCGCCAGTGCAGGGATCTATGTCTTCAAAAAATGTCAAAATTGAAGTCAAAATGTTGGGTTTTTATTCAAAGTGTTAATTGTATTTAATTTGCTTTTCCCTTCCTTTAGTTCTTACTCGTATCTAAAACAGACCTTTATGAATGAATTACGTTCATACTCCGTATTATGAAAACAAACCAAAAATTCACGTGGACTGTGGTCAGTATCGTTTCTAATGTTGGGCTTTGTTTCGTATTGTTAACAAATCACAAAGTCAAAACTAGTGGCTTCTAACTATGCAGTCGTAAGCCATACTGTAACAATACTAACATGCGTATAATGAAAAATGTTATACATAGCCCTTAAAGCTACATATAAGCATTAAATACACACTAGAAAATTGTATAAATTTAGAAAATTTTAAAAATATAATACTAATTACACTGATTTACGTGTGTTTTTGTCATGAATTTCTAATTTTATACAATTTTCAATAGTATATTTAATGATTATATATAGTCCCTAAAGGCTACATATAATATTACCCGTGTATAATATGAATATATGCTCACAAATACAAGTAATTGTTAATCAAGAGTAGTTTCATTCGTTTCTAATTGTAGTTTTGTACAATTATTTTGACGGTAATTATGTGCATTCACATTATTGCTAGTGCTACCGAATAATACAAGTACTTGATTTAGTGGTGAAAATTTTGAACACAGTGGGAGAAATTTCCATTAGAAATATTTTGAAGGTAGAAATTTCCCCATCCTCAACATATTAATTGTACGGGATTCTAATTTAATAGGATGTCTTTCATGATTTACCAAAAAAACTCTCTTTTAGTTCTACATGCTACTATGAAGTTGTATATTAAAAGCACACCCAAATAAACTTTATCTTATGGTAATTCTGAAATTCCAGCCACTTAATCAAATGCATAAACTTTTAGGAACTTTGTTAGCTAATTTGAGTTGCATTGATTGGTCCAGTGTGAGATTCAATTCTAATAAGACAACGTATCCTTACTTACACTAAAAGGGAAAAAAAAAATATTACTCTTAAAGTTGTCAAATTAGAGAATGGTCATTATACTACTTCCAAATTTCCACTTAAAGTTTTTTTTTTTTTTTTTTTAATTTGATGCTTTGTTAGATGAAACAAACAAAATCATCATCGAATTTTAATGATTTTATCAATATCGTACCTAATTTAAGGTCAAATTTATGTATTAATAATTTGACATCGTGACATGTATTATAAAAAATAGATAAATTGTTGCGA